CGACAGGCCTTTTGCTGCTCTGGCTGTCAGGGTGCCTGGGCTCAGGTCAAGCTCTGTTGTAACTCTGTGGTCCCTTCCCTCGGCCACTGCCCGCTCCTGGGACTGTATCTCTCCCTCATCTCTCACAGGAGGAAGACCTGCAGCAGGGTCCTCAAACTCGTATGAAAACCACAGAACCATTTCCTCAAAGTACATGTTACAGTGAAACTAAATATGCGTGTGGCTGGGCAACTTTTTAGATATCTTTATTTGCTTTCAGCATTTTCTTTTTTGTTTATTTCCACCAAGGAGCCAGGTTCTCAGTATCTCTTAGAAGCAGAGATATTTTTTCGGCTCCAGATCAGAAGCTGTGTGTCCTCACTGCTCTGCCCTCATGAAAGTGCCTGCAGTCATGAAGAGATTGTGTTGCTGCCTGCTTTGCACACAACAAGGTGGGAAAGGCCATGCCTGTGAGGGTTACATGATCCTAGAGTATGTGCCCCTTTGGTGAGAGGGTAGTGCTGTGTGTGTTTGGAGCAGGAGCTCAGAGCTGAAACATATGCTCAGCTCCCTGGTTGTGCCCCATATGAGCGGCAAGCCCTTGGAGAGATGGCTGCTGAGAGTGTTTCCCGAGCTGAGCCCAACTCAGGGAGAGCCTCATTCAGCAAAGGAGACTGTACCCTACGTGTGGGCTCCAAGCCAAAAACCTCCTCAAGTCGAAAAATCTGGGTGGTCTGGAAACTATGGATGCAGCAGTGACCATAGTGGCCCCAAGAGGAGAGGCCCTTCTCCTCTTTTTCCAGACCTGTGAACCTCCCTGATTCTGGTTTGATTCTGAGCAGGCAGGAGGTCCAGGAACCACAGGGATCAGATTTCCGGCCAGTCCAGTTGGATGGGTGTTTAGAGGCTGACTCTAGTTGCCTGCAAGAAAATATGTAATACAGTTTTTCCTACCATCTGAATCTCATGAATGTCATCTTATCAGTACAATGACATTCCTACCTGCTACTATTCTTTTTTTAAGATTGGCACCTGAGCAACATCTGTCACTAATCATGTTTTTCTTCTTCTTCTTCTTCTTTCCCTCAAAGCCCCCCTGTACCTAGTTGTATATTATAGTTGTGGTCTGTCTGGTTGTGCTATGTGAGATGCCACCTCAGCATGGCCTAATGAGCAGTGCTATGTCTGCACCCACAAGGCGCACAGGCAAAACCCTGTGCTGGGGAAGCTGAGCCTGCAAACTTAACCATTTGGCCCTGGGGCCAGCCCTCCTACCTCCCACTTTAAAGGGAAAGAAATGTAAGGCTGCCCTCAATGCCCTTCTCCCTCCCATCGCGCTGCCCTCTCCTCTAGGTGAAGATGAGGCTCCAGTGGACAGAGTGAGGTGACTTCACCCCTAGAAACTAAAGGACTGCTGTCATTTCCAAATCCCACACCTGCTGTTCTAGAGTCACACGTGCTCACGCTCACACGGACTGTGATGAGCAATAGAAACAGAAGGCAAGTACTTTATTCCTGTGGATTTCCCACGAGATCTAGGCCATGTGCACTCATGTGAGGAGGGAGAAAGGGTTACATGATTTGGGTGAAACACTCTGTCACTGTCACTCAGGTTCAGATGACAGAGGCTGTATTAGGTCCACTGTGGATCCCAGTGCTGGGCCCTTAGGAGCTCACTCAATGTGTGTTTGTTTGTTGATGGAAAAATTGTACTTTACAATCCTACTGCAGACAGGCTAACTGCAAAAGGCTGAGACAGACTAGGTGGCCAGTGAGGAGTCTTAGCCTAGAGGCCAGCAGTGAGTAAGAGGGACAGGCTGAAAGGGACTCAGGCTATTGAGTCACCAGGTGACCAATGCACTCTGACCACTTCGGGGGACACTGGGCTGGATGTGAGGAGTTGAGCTGGCCTTGCTAGGTGAGAGATGGGGCAGGGGTTTTGGAGAGACAGCCTGCCTGCTCTGTCTTCCATGGACCACACCTGTTGCCAGCACAGGCCTGGTCTCTTTTGCCCCTTTCCAACAGGGCATGAGCTGGGCTGGCATCTCAGGGGAGAAACCCTGATGGAACCACAGGGAGCTCTGGGTATCTTAGGCAGGAGGGCTAGAAGGAAGGGGCCAGCTCAGATCAGACTTGTCTGGAGGGGACAGGAGTTGGTGGACTCTGAAAACTCTCAGTGGAAAGCAGGGATGGAGAAGAAGGGGCAGCCAGGAGACTGGAGGCCAAGCTGGACCCCAACATTACAGGAGGGCAGGGATTAAACTCAGGCTGGGTGAGAAGGAGGAGCTTCTCCAGAGACCCACCCTGACTCTGCATCAGCTCCCTGGCTGTGGGGGACAAAGCTCCTACTCAGGCAGCCTCTCCTCTCCCCGTTGTGGGTGGCTAAGCAATTGAGCTTCAGCCCCAGGCTTGCCGGCTTGGTGTCCGGGACCCATGGTGTCATCCCCCTTCCTCTCTGCTGTATAACACAGGGAAGTAGGTAAGAAGTTCACCCTGAGCCCCAGGACCAGAGAGGTTCATGTTTTCTCCTGATGGTGCTCAGCTGCAGCCCTGGCAGAAGGGCAGATCCAGAGAAAGGTGTGGGTCAGAAGGAGCTGGGGAACAGCTTTGCTTGAGGTTTGGGGGAGGTGGTTGTGGGAGGAGGAAGCAGGAAACAGCAGATTTGTGTCACTGGCCTTCTAAGCACAGAGTAGGTGCCTGTGAATGAGGGTCAGTGAATAAACAAGAAACCAGCCCTTCCTGCTCAGCTCAGAGACATTTATTTAGTTTCTGGGTGTTTCTGGATCAGCTCCAGAGAAGATTGGCTGGTTCCCAGATTTAGAGCTTTTTCATGGTTTCCTTTATCCAGGGCAGGAAACTCGAGACTTTCGTGAAGGCCTGTGGAGGAGTCCCGTCTCTTCGTCCATAGGAGACAAGTCCTTGGATCACATTCTCACACACAAGAGGGCCCCCGGAGTCCCCCTGTAGAGAGAAAGCAGGGAGGACTGAGCCTCTGCTTCGCGGCTCCTGCCCACCTGCATCCTAAATGCCCTCTCAGTGAAGGCCGCCTGGGTTGCCTCCATGTGGGAGATCAGAGAGCAGGGCAGGTCCCTGTGGGTCCCTCAGCTGCCCAGTCCTGATCCTGGACATTGTCCCAGCTTCATTTCACTCAGGGGGTGGCTCCCTCTCCTCCCCCAGGTCCCAGATCCTCTCCCCATGAGGGCGCTGTGGGACTCTGCTTCCGTCTACCGTTTAAGGACATGGAAGCAGGCAGGTGAGGCTGACACTCAGCATGGAGGGTGAGCCATTTAACCAAGATGGGAGCCAGCTCTGAGGAGCCACCTGGTTTGACTGCTGCACACCCAGGGAGCAGTTTTCTAACACCTGTGCCCGGCGTGGGGCAGAGTGTTGCAAATTCACCTTCCGGATGGAACATCATGTCTGGGTGCATCTCAGGCCCCTGGTAGGTTCCCAGAAGGCCTGTGACTCCCCACTCTGGCTGCTCCTCTCTTCTCTTCCCAGGGGAAAGATCAGAGTCTAGGGGGTGAAGGAGTCTCTATTGCCTGGGTCTCTAGATCTCGAAACACCTCTCTCTCTAAAGCTGACCTAGGCAGATTCTCTGTCTCACCTTAAAGGAAGACTTCTCTTCCTTTGGGTCTCTCACGCACAACTGCGTGTTACTGTTGTAATTGCGTAAGTAGGATTCGCACTACCGGTCCTGCTGCACGGTCAGCTCCACCTCCTGCAGAGTGTTTGACCCTCTGCCATTTGGGGTGACTCTCCCCCAGCCGGCCACACTGCACAGCTCTCCGGGCCTCACCTGGGCTGTGCCCCAGGGCAGGCTGAGGGTCCTCACAGCTGCAGTCAGCTTGGCCTCTCTCTCCAGCTGATGAGAAGAGTCAAGAAAGTCCAGCTCAGCCACTGGTCTCCTGGGCCCGGACAGTGTGATGGGGCTGCACTGACTTCCCTCTCTCCTGAGCCACCGGGAATAGTCAGGCAGACAGGATGGGAAGCAGGGAAAGGACAGGTCCCATGGGAGGGGAAGCAATCTGGACCCAGGACAGCAAGAGCAGCAGGGAGGTTCCCTTACCTTTAGTAACATGATGTCATTGGAGAACTTCTTACGTTTATAGTCTGGGTGGCGGATGGCTTGTCTCACAGTGATGACTTGCTGGGTCTTCTCCTGCTTCCGGATGTTGTGGGCTCCAAGAATGACATTGATTAATCTGTGTAGAAAGTAGAGTGAGGTGGTGGGGTGCATGGAATCAAAAGAGATCGAACCTTGGAGCCATAAAGGGTGGGTGACAGGCTGTAGGGCAGGGCTGCAGTCAGTGGAAATCGAAACAAGTGGAGGACTGGGCACTGAGTGACTGTGTCCCCTGTGCTTCTCAATGACATTGAGGGTACGTTTCCTGGATGCTTTCTCTAGCCCTCGAGTAATATTGGGAAAATACTCTGAGTTTACATTTTGAACCTAATGCATGCTTTTATCCTCCACAGCTGCTTCATTTGGCCAGTGTGGCCTCTCTTCTCAACTCAGCCACTTGCTCTCACTTCAGACCCTCTGACCCCAAAGCTTACCTCTCCTATTTCTCACTTTCCATCACCCAGCCTTGCTCTCAGATGGCTCCTCTCAAGACCTGTCATGGCCCTGAGTTACCGGTATCCAGGAGAGCTCCCCTGGGCTGCAGCCCCTGGGCAGAGGTCCCTGTAGGGGTCTCAGGAGGTGTCAGTTGTCTGCAGCCCCTCACCTTCCCCGGCAGTGAGCAGCAGTCAGAACAAAGTCCTCTTGCACGAGGACACCGCCACACCTCTTCTTTTTGTTCCCCCGCAGACACTGAACAAACACCATGTAGGGGCGGGAGTGGGGCTTGGCCTCCTGTCCTCCGATGATGTCCTCTGAAAGAAAAGACTCAAAGATGGGCTTTCTGGGAGCGGGTGTGGTCAGGAGGGAAGTCTCTGGAAGTTGGTGATTGAGGGTGGGGTCTATAGTGACCTGCTGCCACCAGGGAGAGTCCTCCCAGGTTCTCCTAGTAGGAGAATAACCTTTTCTGAATGTGAAGCCACAGAACCTCCTGTTAGAAAAGGGAGGACAGTGCTTGTTGTCCCTGTCCTACTTCAGACCATGCTTGGAGGAGATCAGAGCTGTCTTCATGATGGTGGAGCCCAGCGGATCGTGGACAGGGTTCTGCTACGCCTTCTGTCTCAGTGAGTCTCCCAAGCCTGCTGAGCCTCTGCTAATGTCTCAACTGGTGCCCGTTTCTAATAATCTGTCCGTGAGCTTCTGGTGCTGGATTTTCTACGATCCTCATGTCCGAGGGTCTAACCCGTCCTAGGATCTCAGTAAGCCTTTTGTGGCTGCATGAATAAATGTCCTTCACTTAGCTTTCTGCTGAGGTTTGGTGGGAATCGTGCTGGTGGGATTGAAGGCCGTTGGCCTGGAGAGGGGACACTGTGTGGAGCAGCCAAAGGCCTGAGACGCCAGGGGCAGGTGGGGCTGAAAATGTGCTGCCCAGGACCACGGCAGAGCCACGGCAACGGGGCACCCTGCATGCAGTGATCCAGCGGCTTCAGAGATCAGCTGCTCCCAGGGCTTCTCTCCTCGGTGGGGGTGAGGGGGTGAAGTTTCCAGGAAATGAAACTGAATCTTAAGCTGGGTCCAGGACAACTCTCATTACCACACCCGATTTTTCTGAGCCGCCTTTTCTTGGGTTGGAGTGAGGGATTTTAAATAGTTGTCATTTGTAGGTTCACGTCGTCTGCCAAATGCCTTTCTATGAACAACCCACTTCCCAGGTGATAAGCGAGAGGCTTACACACTAAACCTTCTAGTGAACAGCCTTCCTTCCTGCCATCCTTTTTGAGTGTCCATGCAGCATCGGACTTGTTAGTGTAGGTTTGGGCTAGAGGCTGGCATCTAAAAGGTTCTTGGGTTCCAACCAAAGAAAATCCCTGACTATACTGGGCAGAAGGCTGAGGAGTCCAGAGGGTTTTGTGAGATGGGCTGGGGTTTCTGGAATGGGGATGGTCACTCACCTGTCCCAGCCTCAGGAGGCAGAAGAAACACTAACAAAAGCAGGAGTGGCCGCATCTTTCCCGAAGGTCTGCCGGGGTCACAGCTGCTGGTGTTACTTCTTTCCAGATACACAGTCCGCAAGGGCAAGGCAGGAGTGGTGGCTCAAGACCTCACAGACCTCCTACACCGGTGCTCTTCTGGTTTTCGTGTGTCATCTGCAAGGTGGTTTGTTGAAGTTCTCTGGCTTGGGGTAGGTGACAGTATCATTGTCACCAACCACACTTGCACTCCCAGTGCTGAGTCACAAGGTGAAATCAAGAAGAAAGAACAAGAATGTGAAGCCTGTGCTGCAGCCAGCAGAGGAGCTGGACCCCAGAAGCCCCTCGGTGACTAAATCTAGATTGTCTCCATTTCTCAGCTCTTGGATCTTTTTCCAAACTGATGAATTCATGAATAGCTATTTAGGAAGCTTGCTCTAAGGACATGAGTGAGATGTCTCCTACCCTTGAGAAGATGGCGGTCTCCTTGAGCAGACTGAGACTCTGTGGTTAGAGTGTAGGCCAGTAGGGGCTGTGGTGGGGGTCTGCTTCATGGTGGGAGATAGTCTGGACCTGCCTGAGGGGCATGTAGAGCTGGACACACACAGACCCCCCGAGAGAGGTAACATCACTGCCTCTCTGACCACAAGTCCAGCCTTGTATTTTGGAATATTTAGAATCCCCTCTTTAAATGTAAATATTCTGTGACAAAGAGAGCTTCCTTTATCCCACAGTCTTGAATAAAATCCTGGACTTGATATTCATGGGACCAAAACAAACCATCATTGAGTCCATCAGAATTGAATGCCTAAATGGTTTATTCTTGAGTCATTGAGCACCCCTGGACCTGAACGGGGGATTGTTCCTCCCCAATCAGAGTATCTGTTTTCTGAGGAGGGAGTTGCCCTTGAGAAATGCTGGTTACTGGTGACAGATGATGGGGAAATGGATGCCGATCATCCTAATAATTACTATCCATTAAGTACTCTCTGTCCCGGGTCCAGTGAACCATGGCTCTGATGTGCCTGGGCCTAACAGAAGTATTTGCCAACAGGTTATCCCAACATCCTCTCCAGAATGATGACAGATGAGGGAGTATTGGAAAAGAAGAGATTATGAATTCTAAACAGCCCAATGCCAATTCTGTTAAAGCAATGGAAGGTTATGAAGGCACAGAAAAAGAGGGGAAGCCAACGTGCTTAAGCACTAATGATGATGATCTCGGAGTGGTGAAATTCTCGGGAATTTTAACCTTCTTATTTGTCTGTTCTTCCTTTAACTGTCTTTCTACTATGAACATGTGTTACTTTTCTAGCCAGTAAACTTCTTCCTATAGTTGAAGCACAGTCATCAATGGCAAACGTTGAGGAGACTACTTCTTTCTAGTCTAGCCTTCTCTAAAATGGATATTTTAAAAATGAGTTTACTTTTCTCAATCCATTCTTATAGACAAGATTTAGAGATTGTTGACAAATTTATTCAATCTAATATAGGCTAGAGGACATGTTGGTGAATA